TCACCAACATGTCCATTCAGGCAGGGCTTAATTTGTAAACTGCCTGACACCCCCCCCCCCCCCCCCCCCCCCCCGTCCCCCACCACAGAAAATTTTGAATAACAGATGCCATTTCCTGCATTTTGGTGTATTTTAACAGGTTGTTGTACATCAACATTTACCTACATTTGTAAACAAATTTACTATTTTAGAGATCAGCAGGTTGTGTGTGAATGAGCAGCACCGATTCTGTCAGGTGTCCTACCCCCCCCCACCCCCCACCTCCCCCCCCACCCCCCACTTCATGATTCTGAACTGAACTCTTCTCCGCTCCTGCTCTAGTCTCGTGGCACCTTTTGAAGCACCTGAAGGCTTCAATTCTCTGTTGTCCATAAGGACAATCCATCCATCCATCCATCCATTATTAAATTGGACTGTCTTGATGAAATTTTTATCGCTGTTATTTTGACATATTGTTTTGAAACATGACGTATAATGTGAATAACACAAACATTTCTCTCTTTGTATTTTTAATAAATTTTTTAACAGTAAGCTTTTTTTATTCATCATGTCTCAAATGTGGGGCAGCACGGTGGCGCAACTGGTAGAGCTGCTGCCTCTCAGCGAACAGGTCCTTGGTTCAAACCCCAGTCCAGGGGCCTTCTGGGTGGAGTTTGCATGTTCTCTCCGTGCATGCGTGGGTTTTCTCCGGGTACTCCGGTTTCCTCCCACGGACCAAAAACATGCATGTTAGACTGATTGGTAACTCTAAATTGTCCCTAGGTGTGAGTGGGAGAGTGAATGGTTGTTTGTCTCTATGTGTCCCTGTGATGGACTTGCGACCTGTCCAGGGTGTACCACGCCCCTCGCACAGTGATTGCTGGACATGGGCACCAGCGACCCCCGTGACCCAAAATGGAATAAACGGGTAAAGATAATGGATGGATGGATGGATGTCTCAAATGTCTCAGTTCAGACACCTGCTGATGATGTGCGCACGCGGTCGTCTGGAGACGTTTCTGTGCGTAACGTGCACTGTCCGCAGGACATTTATTTATTCTGTTGAATAAATTATCGTTTCTGTTTCGGGGGTCTGAGAGGAGGGAAGGGGGTGTTTTTCAGTGCGCAGCCTCGCTGAATAGGGACAATATTTAGAGAGGAGGAGAGAACATCTATGCGTAAATGTGACCATCTCTTCCTCCGTCCTCACCCCTTCCACCCCCACCTAGGCTTCTCTCCGGCCTCACGAAGGGGCGTGTAGCGGGTGCGCCGTGTGTGCAGCGGCTGGAACGTCCAGTCCACAGACCGAGTCCACTGGGCTAAAAGCAACTTCTCCACTTGTATTTTTTAATACATAATCAAAATAAAAATGCGCGATGACTTTTAGGGGCGGAGATGGCGGATCAGAGGAAAGAGTTGCCGTAACAGAAAGGGTCAAAATGAGAGAGTTCCCGGATCTTGTTCCGGCAGGATCCGGCTCAAATTAACCACTGCATTCAGGTAGACCTGCTCTGATTACCTCTCTCCACCCTGGCATTGCTCTCCATCACTTCATCCAGATTTTTCCAAAATGTATCTTTCTCCTTCACATCACATCCAACCTGTGGAGAACCAGACAACATTTCACATTAGACCTTCTACTTCTACCTTCAGACATATCACCCTATCTGACACTCTTTTCACCTCTACTACATTCTTTACCAACTCCTCCTTCAGGACCACCTCTACTCCATTTCTTTTTCTATCCAAACTGTGGTGGAACAGTTTAAACCCTGCTAGCCTTGCTGCCCTTCCACTTGGGTCTCTTGGACACATAAACATCTACCTTCTTTCCCAGCATCATGTCAGCCAGCTACATTTGCCTGTCATTGTCCCCACATTTGGAGTTGCAACCCTGAGTCATACATTTTTGACTTTCCTCTTCCCTGATAAGTTTCCCTCCTCCTATTTGTCCCCCAAGGTGACAAATATAAGGAACGTATGCCAAAGCAGATTAGTAAGAAAATGGTTTTGAAAGAATTTAAGAAATCAATACATTTCTATGGGAAAATATGCCTTAAAAAAGGCAAACCATTTGAAAACTCGGTTATAAAAACGAAATGCTAAAGCACCCATGTTCTGAACAAGCACATTTTTTATAAATGAGGAAAATAGCAAAGTACGCAAACATAAAATCTTACAGAAAAAAAAAAAAACGCAAACAGCGCTAATACTTTATTGAAGTTTACACTATAATTATAGTTGTCTGAATGTATAATATCTAGGTTATCAGAATAAACTTTATTATCATTGCACAGAGATACGAGAACATGTGTTATGATGGTAAAAGAAGAAATTCTGCTCCAATAAATCTGAGTAATTTTATCATCTTTATTTTCATGATTTTACAAATATGATAATTCTGCAAGTCAACTTTACTTGTGCAACACAATGGCATTATGGACCGTTGAACTGGACATCCCGGGCCGGGACGTCCGCCTCTTCAGGGGGTTGTGAATCCTGCAGACCAAAGGCCTTACATGTAAGATTTTAGCGTCATCCAAGGAGTGTTAATCGAGTCGAGCTTTGTCACCAATCTCGACTTATCCCACCTGCTGTCCGTCCACAGGATTCACTAGCAGCTTAAACACAAAAATCCACAGATGGCGTTAATGTCAGCTACCATCAGGTCAGAGGGCGCGGCCCCTTGGACGTGGGCTTGAAGTTGGACTGTCTCTTTGGATGAGGCTGATGGTTCCTGATCAGAGCTGCAGGGCTGCCTGTCTTTTCAAAAATGGGTGATCTTGCCATTTAATGGGTTTTTTTTCTTTTCGTTTTTCCTTTGGGACACCAGTACAGATAAGAACAATGGCATGCAAGACTCACATACAGACCCACTTATTTTTCTTTTCTTAAATAGAAAATTAAGATTCTGACATAAGGACAAGCACTGAGCCCTGGAAAACACCCAAGCGTATTTAACTATACGAAGAACGAATGACGCGTTTTCTTTTTTTTTTCCTCATAGTATGGGGGCTTGCAACAGGTCAATCCATTTTAACACAACATCTGGCGCCCCATTGTGGGGACATAATACATCTCACAGTTATATTATTTCTTCTTCTACACCTTTTTATTACAAATGTATGTGCTTTTTATTTCAAACGGAGGAAATCTAGAAAACAAATCTGCATTTTCCAACGGCAGTCCGCCCGATTCTGTCCAGTTTATTGCAAATGAAGTGATAACCTCTGAACAGCAACACACACTTCAATATGGCACAAGCGTCTTTAGAAATGACCTAAATGTGCTGACGTCTGTGTTGTAGATGTATATCGAAAACCAACCCACACCATATCCGGAAAATATGAAGACAACAACCATCCGTAAAGAAGAAAAATGTTTGTTTTTTTTATCCCCACTCGATGAAACACGCAGTCTGCCTTTCTGCAAGCAAAAAAAAAACAACAAAAATTTAAGTCTGGACCTCATGGCAGAAATAATAATAATAATAAAAAAAAAAAATTAAAAAAAAAAGTCAGATTAGCCTCACCAGTTACGCTAACACTTCTACTATTCACAACAGGAGCTGCACTTCAAAATCTACCATTATCCTGGGCTGGATGACGATTCCTTCACCTAAGAAATTTGCACACTCGCAAAACGAAGCGTGGAAACGGCTGAAACTTTATGTCCACCTACCCCGACGTCCCCGTCTAATAAACCGCACAAAATAAGCGAGGATTCTTGTTTGGTTCCAGATGTCTCGTTTTAACCTCAAGACGTCTGATGTGCTTGTCTCGCTCAGCTTTGGCACCGTCCCTGAGGTACCCGATAGGAAATCCACCCCCCCTCTCTGAGGAAAAGTGTCGTCTCTGGAGTGTTGAGGAGAAATCTACACATGAAGGCATTTTCCTCCAGCCCTTTTCTCTGATGCTGCTGTGCGGAAATGTTAGCTGAATCCAACATTCATCCAAATACAAATAAATACGGTTTCAAAAAAACAGGACAAACAACGAAAAAGTAAAATGTTGCTGCTTCACAAAACTCAAAACAAATCCATCACCATCCACTCCTTGGTCAAATAAAGAAAGAAATATTACAAGAGAGGATATATCTAAAGCAGTGGTTGTTTTACAATGGCGACAACATCAGTTCGTCAGGTCCGATAAAACTGCTTCCCTCCGTTTCTTCGCTCCGAGGCGATCATGCTGTGTCTGATCAAAGACGTTAACCTGCGACTTCTCCCTCCTTCCCCCGACAGACGCTCCTCCCGCTCAGTTGCAGATTTGTTCAGTCGGCGTAGTGCATGATGGACTCGACGTAGTTTCCAGGGAAGAGGCCCGTGGTCCCGTTCATCACTCCTTCGTACCAGCCGTCGTCGTTCTTCTTGATCACGTAGATGATGGCGCCCTCCTGGAAGGAGAGCTCGTCCTCTTTGTCGCGAGCGTAGTCGTAAATGGCCACCACTGTGGAGGAAGTAGGAAGTTAGGCGCAAGTTGCTCACAGGTTCGAAATAAGCTGCCCAGCTGGTTTCAGACGTATGTCAACGTTTGCATACCTTACCTGTTGCACACCTGCAACTTATGCCTAACGTATAAGCAACACGTTGGTATATGCTAATTTGGTGCACGTACAACATTTCTGTCTGGCATCAGCATACAACAAGCTTGTGCAAGCGTAGAGTTGGGCGATATATCGAGATAATTTCATACGCAATAAAAGATGGGACTATATCGTCTATATCGATATTTCTACGTTGAGTTATAATTAAGACTTGAAAATCTGCCAGTTCTTTTTCTCCTCATTTGTGCTCAGCTTCACGTGGCCCCTCCTTTCGGTATGTAAATCGTTTATTTGAAATATTTTTACATTTATTTTGTACGGTTACAGCTGTCTGTTAATAAATGTGATTGTGTGACAAGTGGGACAAAACTTTGACTCAGAAATATATTGTTGTTGTTACTTTATGGGAATTTTTTTTTGGATATATATATATATATATATATATATATATATATCGTATATCGCGGTTTATCTTAAAAAATATCGAGGTATTAATTTTGGTTCATAATGCCCAGCCCTATGCAATCGTATATTAGCGAGCTGGTAATTTATTAAAAACTTACACCTAACTTATGCCGCGTTTGCCATTTCCCTTTTTTCCATACACCGACGCCACAATGGGAGTTGCACTGTGTGCAGCCACCCATGTCACAATCTGCTCCAACACACTCTGCATAAATTCGGCACAAGTTACACGAATGATGATCATAAACTCAGCACAAGTGCTTGTATAAGTTATGTATAAGCTACGGGCAAGTTAGGGATAAGTTACTCCTAAGGTATATTTTCATTCCACTCGTTGGCGATATGGTTTGTATACGTATAAAAGAGGCTTCTTTTTTTATTCCATCTTCAGTGCATTGCCAGAGTGTTGGAGAAAATTTACATGCTAACAATAGTTCACTAAAACGTTGGTGTGACGAGGCCTTTAGCAAGTACAAAGAAGCGTAGTGATTCCAAACAAACCCTGAGCGATATCAAGAGATTGCGCATAGCGTCCCTTTCAAGATTCCACACAAACAGCTACAACTCACATCTAAGATGATTTTAGTCTGAACTATGTCATGACCGGCAATGGTTGATAAGGTATTTATCCTATTCCGTTATGTCTCTTTGTTTAAAAACATTAAAAATCTTAGTTTGAAGGACCAGAGTTCTATCCTTTTCCCTTCAGACCGAGCATTTCTAGCGTAGAGGCTTAAAGAAACAGGAGTACTAGTTGAAAGTTGTTGGGAATTTTAAATTGTAAAGCTGTAACCCTTCCCTACTTTGGCACAACCCAAACCGAAAGAAATGATCTGTAATGAATATAATAAAAGTTGCTTTAAGGTGGACTTCAATGCAAACCTTTCTCCAGGTAGGTACGTGGAGCCCAGGGTGGGTCTTCCTCCGCGTAAGGGTCGGTGTACTCCACTACTGCCGACTCTTCTTCTTCCTCTTCGTCCTCGTAGTCCTCCGGTGGAGGTGGAGGAGGCGTGGGTTCTTCAAACACCGGCTCCTCGGTAGGCGGGGGCGGGGGCGGCGCATCTGAGACTAGAAGTGGTTTTTATACGGTCGGGAAGATACAAGACGACCAATTAGAACGAAGGAAAGGCGATCAAAGACGACAGACACTTTCATGCACGTTAAAAAAAATGTGTATGAATCAGTTCAGCATGCAGGATGGAAGGAAAATGTTTTCAAGCAATTGAGGTGTGGGGAGACAAAAACAGGTGAGGGGAAAAAAATCATGCTTTCCACTTTTCTTAGATAATTTTACTACCGATCACCAACATCTTCTGACATGAGAAACTGCTACCATCTCTCATTCAGGGTTTCTCAACTGTTCAGAAAAAAAAACTGCTTTAAAATGAGCTCCTTTATTTGTCACCGAATATAAAATAAAATGTATCAACGGTGAGATAATGGAGTCACACAAGGCTGGAATGGACCACAAGACATCACCAAGAAGCTCGGAGCAAACTCTTGGGTTTTATTTTCCAAAAATGGAAGAAATACAGCAAGTCAGAAGCAGTCGCCTCATGAGCGGAGGATGAAGATCAGAACAGGTTTCCTACATATTTTTGTGTAAAAAGTCCATATTTTTACAAATTTCAATTTAAAAGTTTCCTCAGTTGATTGGGGACCACTTGAAGGCCACCTATTATTAACCACCTGAAAAGGGTCTTGCGCTTTTATCAACTTTTACGCGGCCCGAACTGCAACGTGTACCCTCACAAATGTTATGTCAAAACATCCGACTCGGCATCGTGATGTGTGCTATTACTTTTTTCAAATTACCACGGCAACGTAATTTACAAAAAAAGACAACATAAGACAACTCTTCACACCACATCTTTTAAGATAAACATACATATTTAGGTCGGTCACGATAAATTTTGCTGGACAAATAATTGGCTCAGAAATTATTGCGATAAACGATAATATTGTTTGAAATTTTACAATAATTAGTAATTATTGTCAAATTTAAGAAGAAATGTTGGTTAATTTTTGTGTGTAGTACCTTTTTTGACCACCAGATGGCAGTATAACATGGTTTGAACTGAAGGATTGATAGTGAGTGAACGAGCACCGTGTCTCTTTGGGAGAAATGGGAGAGTGGCCTCTTGACGTGACATGGGCGGTCTCCCTTTCCTTTTTTTGGTTCTCAAAATGCCCGACACTCGGTGAGGTTTGAGCTCTTTAGCATAGCATTTTTCACACAAAGCTTTTATTTAAAAAAATCAGTAAACAAGTTCTCAGCTTTTTTTGCAGAGAAAAACAACTTTTTAGACGAAGGCACGAGTTTCAAACGTGAATTTTGGAACTTCAACAAGACGGAGGGTTTTTTTTTTCCCCACCAAGGTCGGCCTGCTAGCTTAGCTCGTAGCTTAGCCTCTCAGCTTAGCTTCTCAGCTTAGCTGCTTTTAACGATCCAAAAAACGCGATTTGGACAGTTAAAACGAATTTTAATGAGAAAATAGAAAGGGAGGGGTCAGTGAAGAGCACCGGAGTTGAACCTTTTGTCATCCAGTGTCTTCAGTAGAAAGAGAGACACGAAGAAACGATAAAGCCGATAAATGAAAATGACGCTGACAATCTTCATTTATCATGCGACTAATTGATTTGTTTATTGCAACAAGCCTATACATATTATATCTCAAAACGTTGGCATTGTTGTGAACTAAATTTTAAAATGGCCACCACGTGGCAGTCCCCATCCAAGTTTCTCCAGGAACTTTCCTGTTTTGGGGCAATATCTAGTACCTTCTGAATGCAGAAGCCTACTTAATTAAAAAAAAATCTACAGTAGTCTAGTTTTCTTTGTTTTTTGGTATGTCGATCTGAAACCAAACAAAAACATAAAAATAAAAAAGCAGTAGGAGTATATCTTGCTGTTATCACCTTTACGACAACTATTTGACTTAGTAAACACAAAAATGGTTACAACTTGGTCAACTGTACCGACTGCGAGCTAAAATCAAGTAGCTGAGATTCACCTCCAAAGTTTACTCCACATACTAACAGATTTAGACCATATTATCTACATGGGAATGCAGTTTTTCCAAATCAGTTTTTTTCCGAAGCAAACTGCTACCAGAAGTCCCAGGTTTGATCCCCAGCCATCCCCACATGTCGTGGTGTCTTTGAGCAAGGCACCTGATCCCTAATTGCTCCCCGGGTGCTAACATAGCTGCCCACTGCTCCACCTGGGTATATCCCAGGTGCGATGGGTTAAATGCAGAGAACTGATTATGCCATTGTATGGGAACATACGATGATGACAATCTCAGACTTCCATTCCCTTCTAGAAGTATTGGCTCAAAAGCTGTAGTAACTTTGCCAGGCCTGTATGCGGCGCTGTAACGCTGCCACGGAAATACACCAAAAATGTGGAGCGAGCTCAAAACTGTAAACACAAGGACAGCGAATAAAGGATTTTCTCACTATGGAACCTGGTTTAAAAAAAAAAGAAAAGACTAGAGGTCAGGGCTTCTAAAACAATGTTTTTGTGTGGACGCAGACAAAACCATAAAAAAAATAGAATAATCCTTTGTTGAAAACTTTGACCTTAAAGTCAGCATGTGATGTGCATTTGCTACTAAATTAAAAGCTAAAAAAAGAAAATTTACACTTTTCTACTAGTTTTATGTCCTTAGAAAGATCTATTCATGAAAGCTTGAGGCTAATTTCAGCATCATGTCCATGTTTAAGTAAAGAGCTTTAAAGAACAAGATGGCGTTCCTTAAACTACGCAAGTCAAAGCTTAAAGAAGAGCTAATTGAGGACTTTGTCTTTATTCTATATATAAACTGTGTGACGAGCACTCGGTTTGGTTAGATGTTTAAATTTTTATATTGTAGAAAAAAGTTGGGACTAGTATGGAAACAACTAGGCCTGTCACAATAAACAATAAATCAAATAATCGCATGATAAATGAAAATCAACCTCATTTCAATTTATTGGCTTTATCGTTTCTTCGTGTCTCTCTTTCTACTGAAGACACTGGATGACAAAAAGCTAAACTCCGGTGCTCTTCACTGACCCCTCCTTTTCTCTTTAAAATCTGTTTTAACCATACAAAATTACATTTTTGGACGGTTAAAAGCAGCTAAGCTACGAGCTAAGCTAACAGGCCGACCTCGGGGGGGAAAAAACCTCCGTCTTGTCGAAGTTCCAAAATTCATAGTTGAAACTCGTGCCTGCCGTGTAAAAAGTTGTTTTTCTCTGCAAAAAGAAGCTGAGAACTTGTTTACTGACTTTTTATTAAAAGCTTTGTGTAAAAAATGCTATGCTAAAGAGCTCAAATTACACAGAGCATCCGCCATTTTGAGAACTGAAGAGAGACAGCCCATGTCACGTCAAGAGGCCTCCCTCCCATTTTTCTTAAACACGCTGCTCGCTCCCTCAATATCCATCCTTCGGTTCAAACAGTCTTATACTGCCATCCAGTGGTCAAAAAAAGTACTACACACTAAATTAACCAACATTTCTTCTTAAATTTCAAACAATTTTAACGTTTATCGCAATCGTTTCTGAGACAATTAATCGCCTGGCAAAATTTGTTATCGTGACAGGCCTAGAAACGACCATTTTTTTCTAACTGATTTTTTTCTTATACTTCTAGAGACATGGAAAATACCAGAATCAAATTCCACATTTTCAAGACTGCGTGGTGAAACCAGTGTGTAAAGTGCGAAACAACTACCCCCACCATTTCCTGTAAACCTAGGAGCCATAAAAAAAAAAATTTAAAAAAAAAAGAGAAATTGAACTAAAAGACATATTTGCTTCATGATGGAGACTGAAAGTCAGAGCTCAGACTAACAGAGGCTAAGGAGGAAACCTGAATGTGGAGGCGGCAGCTTCCCCGTCGAGCTCTTGTTGGTGAACGGCCATTAGAAAACAAAAACAGCTGAGGAGGCGGTGAAAAAAACAGTCAGGCAGAGGAGCTAAAAAGCAACTTACTAGTCTCCTGAACTCGGGCCACAAAGCCCATCAGAGGCAGCTGAGGGGTGATCTGCATGGATGGGGGAGGGGGCGCGTGTGGGCCTGCTACCACCAAACAGAGTTGGACGGCAGAGACACGAGAGGACGAGGTTAGAAAACACAAAAGATGCACGACAGAGAGAAAGACAAAGAAAAGAAGACAGTGGTAACAACTGCAGCAAAACACAGGACTGAACATTATTAAAACAATATGATAAGATTCTGATGACAGTGAAAGAACATCCTCTTTATTTAAAGATGAATATTTAAGAAACACGCTACAGAGTATTAAGATATCAGCGTTTCCCTAGATTACTTCCCTTGGCGGGGCACTCGTCTTATTTTATTTCCTGTAGAGCAAGGGTGGGGGGTTAAGTCTGTTTTGCCCGCCTGCTAGCTTAGCGCTACGTTGTTACCCATTTTTAAGAGACGAGGCCGGGGGTGGGGGGGTGGAAAAGACTAAGACAGAGTCACATCTGTGTTGCCCGCCTGCTAGCTCAGCGCTATGTTGTTACCGGTTTTTAAATCGACGAGGCAGAGGGGGGTGGGGGGGGTGGACGACAACGGAATCACGTCTGTGTTGCCCGCCTGTTAGCTTAGCGCTACATTGTTGTCGGGTTTTACTGACGAGGTGGGGGTGGGTCACATCTGTGTTGCCCCCCTGCTAGCTTAGCACTACTTTGCTCTTGATAATTATCGACA